TCTCCCAGTTCTGGTCTCATCTGCAAACTAGGGATGATGACCCCCATCTTAGAAAAGTATTGGGAAGATGAAGTGAGCCAGCTCTGCAAAGTGCCTGGCGGGAAGCAGATGCCACTCAATAGACGCTATCGTCTGCCCCTCTCCACACCCCAGGACTGTCGTTAAAACCCTCAAGCCAACCATTTTATGTATTCACAGTCCATCTTGTTCTAGAAGGACTGGATATACAAATTTACATACATAGAAAGATATAAAGTAAAATAAAAATTGTATTAATTTGCCACATATATCAAAGTTAAAATGAAAGTAGAGATAAGATGGAACCAAAAGTTAAGGCGGTACGTGAAGCCTATGCTCTAAGATTGTATTTTGTACATAATCTTAAGAGATGGACCAAATGCTTGATGTAAAACCTTCCTAGAGGACAAACCAAAGAGGCACAATGGCCAGCTGCTTGACGAGGTGCTTGAAAGAGAAAAATAAGTGAGTTCCCAAGGAAAGCACATTTCTGAACCAAAATTTTTAAACGTGTGTTCCCTTCAATGGAGAAATTCCTTTTCTAGGATTCTAACCCTGAGAGGTAGTCACATGTGTGCACAAAGACATATGTGTGTACAAAGTTGGTTGTTGCAGAGTGGTTGGTCACAAATGAAAACAAGCTAAATTTCCATCAAACTGGACTGATTAAGTAAATTCTAGTACATCCAAACCATGGAACACTATACCACTACAGAAAGGACAAAGGATGACGGATCCATATGCACTAACATGGAACGATCTGCAAAAGACTCTAAGAGAAAAAGATTCAATTTGCAAAAAAATCATGTCTTATATATGTACTTTGTAGAAAAGTTTAACTGCATTCACGTAAAAATGGTAACACTGATTACCCCTGGGGAGTGTATGGGACGATGGGGGAAGTTAAAGGACCTTTTCACTTTTGTGTGTGTGTGTTAAATATTTTTTTAATTGCTCTGTGATACTATTTTTTTAATTTATTTATTTTTATTGCAGTAGCATTGGATTATGACATTATGTAACTTTCAGGTGTACATCGTAACATATTTTTATTTCTCTGTAGATTACATCCTGTTCACCACCCAGAGACTAATTACCATCCATCCCCACACACATGTTCCTAATCACCCCTTTCGCCCTGCTCCCTCCCCACTTCCCCTCTGGTTACCACCAATCCAATCTCTGTTGCTGCGTATTTGCTTGTCGTTGTTTTTATCTTCTACTTATGAGTGAGATCATACTGCTTTTAACTTTCTTCCTCTGACTTATTTCACTTAGCGTAATACCCTCAAGGTCCATCCAAGTTGTCACAAATGGCCGGATTTCATCATTTCCTATGGCTGAGTAGTATTCATTGTGTACCACATCTTCTTTATCCATTCGAAAGGGACATTTTTACTTTCTACTCTACATATTTCTACACTTTATTTTTGTAACTCTAATAATTTAATTTAAAGAAAAATGGGGAAGTGTCATTTTAAAATTCACATGTAATTGGGTAGTGGTATTGTATCTATGTTAAATTTTCTGAATCTTATCATTGTACTATGGTGATGTAAGAAAATGTCCTTTTCGGGCCAGCCCAGTGGTGCAGCGGTTAAGTGTGCACATTCTGCTTTGGTGGCCCGGGGTTCGCCAGTTTGGATCCCAGGTGTGGACATGGCACCACTTGGCAAGCCATGCTGTGGCAGGCGTCCCACATATGAAGTAGAGCAAGAAGGGCATGGATGTTAGCTCAGGGCCAGTCTTCCTCAGAAAAAAGAGGAGGATTGGCAGCAGTTATTTCAGGGCTAATCTGCCTCAAAAAAAAAAAGAAAAGAAAAGAAAATGTCCTTTTCTTAGTATATACATGCTGAAGTCCTTAAAGGTGAAAAGTCATGACAACTGCAACTTATTCTCAAATAATCACCAAAAAAATTAAAAATTAAAAATAAGATAAAATAATAGTAAGTGTACAGAGAGAGTTAGAAAGCCAGTGTGTCCTAATGTTAATAATTGGGACATCTAGGGAAAGGTTAAGTGGGAGTTCACTGTAGTACTCCTGCAATTTTTCTGTAAGTTTGAAATGTCTTCAGAGTAAAAAGTGTTTCTAAAAAGTTTCATGTGATTTCTTCCTTCTAGAGTGGACACTTTGATGTGTCTTTCCTGGGTTCTAGGAGGACCCTGATGGTGGGTCCTTTAGCACACGTAAGGCAGGCACCAATCATTGCCCTTGAGTGAGACTTAAATGCAATTGAGAAAGTCAGATGGGCACACTCAGAGCCAGAGGGTGTGTTCTGTTGTAAAAGATGGAAATTGATTGTGTCCTTTGGAAGAACTAGGGAGTTGTGTGTTTTTCCTTAATACGCCTCAGGACTGCTTTGCACCTATAGGGTACTGTCTGTTCTTGAAGATGGTGATGTGAGTGTACGTATTCTTGTCAAAGTTTGCAGATTAAAAGCAGACCGTGGTAGGGGGGGACACCGAGTCCTGGTATTTCCTTCACTTCCCACTGGGAAAAGGATTAGAAGGAGGGGGAAGAGGACAGGAACTGGATGGACTGGATTATATTGTTTAACAAAAGATTTTAACTATTGGTGTTCAGTGCACAGTTTTATCTAAGCCTGAAATATACAGACTTTGGGGAAATGGATTGTCAAGCCATTGGGACTGCCTTGTTGGCTCATAAGACCGACCACACGCCTGACGAGAACAGACATTTCCACATCCATCGTCCTAGAAGGAGGTCATGCTGGGGTCTATGTTAGGAGTAGGGGAGACATGGAGGGAAATCTGGTCTCTTTCTGGAGGTCTGAAGCCAGACTGACCAGCCTCCAAGGTGTGGAGGATGCTGGAGAGCCTTGGGGCTCAGGAATGATCTGCCAGTGTCAGGTGGAGACCAGCCAGAGCTACAGAGACTGCCAGCTGGGAAAGGGCACCGGGGCTGGCCCTGGCCTTCAGGCTCTAGGAGCAATGTCAGCAGCAGCCACTGCAAGGCACCCTCTGCTGTATTTACTTTCCTTTATCTGTGATCCTTCAGCAGAGTCTTGCTCAGAGTCATTTCTTCCTATCACAGTCTCGGCTGTGCCGTGGAGAATTGGAGAGAGCCTGCCCCACATTTCAGAAGTGGACAGGAAAAGAGGAGTGCCCCAGGAATGGTGGATCAGAGAAGACCCCTGGGCCCAGCATCTCAGGAGGATGGAGACAGTGTCTGAGACAATGGAGGCAATAGCGAGGTAGCAAGACCAGGAGGTCAGAGAAGAAACTGAGTGACTTCACAACCTCCCTGAGACAACACCTGGGACACTTCAGACACAGCTGGGAGGAGGGAAATTTCAAGGAGGCCAATTTCCAGAAGTTATCCAGGTTTGGATTCAAGTCATAATCATTTAAATATAAAAGGAAAGTATCACTTTATTCTGGTGGGACGTGGGACATATGGATTATCCTCACACGCTCATTTTTAATAGAAACTAGCATTATTGGAATAAATGTGGGTTTTTAATGTACTTGTAAAAGGTCTTGAAGCATCAGGAAGGGAGCAAAGACCCCAAGCACCAGAAACATAACTTCAAAAGTTCAGACCTCAGAGGGAGAGCCCCCATGGGTCCTCCGTTGACCAAACTCACGCCTCTTTTCTAAGCCCGGAAAGTACTTGAGTGCCATCTAGTGGCCAGAGTGAGTAGCTGTTTGGAAGGATAAAGAGAAAATCGTTCAAACGTAGTAAACGTATTCAGCTTTTACTGTGCTAATATTGTGGGCCAGGCATTGTTTGACACCCAAGCAGTACAACAGTGAACAAAATAGTCTAAGTCTCTGTCCTCAGGGAGCTAATATTAGATTGGCAGGTGGAGGTGACAGTAAAGTAAACAAAGCAATAACTCTATAAGGTCAGGTGATGAAAAGAGCTGGACAGAAAAATAAAGCAGAGTAAGGGGTCTAGGAGATGTGGGGATTGCTACTTTCTAGGAGGCGAGGTAACATGCCTTCTAGGGAAAATCATTCCAGGAGGATGGAAAAGCCAGTGCAAAGGCCCTGAGGTGAGAGTATTCTTGGTGTGTTCTGGAACAGACAGGAGATCAGAGGGGCTGGAGCAGAGGGAGGGAGACAGAGGTAGGATATTTCAGGAGCCAGATTTTATGAGGCCTCATGAACCATTGGGAGGACTCTGGCTTTTACTTGGAGTAAAATGGGGGAGTGTTGGAAGATTTTGAGCAGAAACTTGACCTGGTTCATGTTTCAAATGGGTAACTCTGGCTGCTGAACTGAGAGTAGACAGTAAAGGAGTAACGTCAGAGTCAGGGGGAATAGTCAGGAGGTGACGGCAGTGATCTGAGTACAAGACGATGGCGGGCCAAATCAGAATGGTATCAGTGGGCTTGAGGAGAAGAATCAGGTTTCAGATCTATTTAAAAGACGGCATCAGTGGGACTTGATGACAGATTGGATGTGGGGTTGAGAGAAAGAAAGGGGTCAAAGATGACCCAGGTTGGTGTCAAGATGGCCACATAGGCAGATTCTGAACTCACCTCCTGCCATGGACACGACCAATTTACAACTACTTGGAACAATTAGCCCTGAGAGAGAACTGACAACTGGATAAAAAGAACCCCTGCAACAATGGACAGCCCTAACTGAGGTAGAAGAGGCAGAAACTCCTCTCTGGAGAGAAAAGAAAGCCACCTTCCCAAGCTGCCGTGCTTCATGGCCAGCCGGGAGCAATCATAAGGTACGCAGCCTTCCCTGGAGGAAAGGGGACCTCAAAGGGGGAGCGTTACCACTATAAGCATCCTTTGACTCAGCACAACCCAGATGAGTGTCATAATACCTGGCTTTGCTGGCCATTAACAACAACGGGGAATACCCCTAGAAAAGCTGTGAGTCATTAGGGGGGAAAAAAAGCCAGCTCTTAAAGGGCCCATGCACAAATTCACCTGTTTTGGAAAGCAATCTAAAATCAACAGAAAGAAAGGTGCACAGGCCTTTCATGAAAAGAGACTCACCTGATAAGCTCTGGGTGCATCTCGGTGAGAGCTCTCCAGGGACTGAGACATGGGTGGCAGCCATTATTGTGACCAAGTACAGGCACGCTGACACAGATGCTGGCAGACACCATGGGAGTTCTTCCCCTGGTCTGTTAGCACAGGGTGTGCCCCACCCACCAGAGCACTGATTTAATCCAGCTCAGCCAGGGCAGGCAGCCTGCCCTAGGGACTGGCCCCACCCAACAGCAAGCCCTGGGGAAACCTGCGGGCCAGCATAGGCGGGGTGCCTAGAACCTCTGCAGCCAGGCAAGTGGGGCAGAGTGTGTGTGAGGAGCCAGTGGAGTGTGTGAGGCCTCTACAGTGGGGCGACTGGGTCTGCTTCAGGGGGTCAGGGCTCGCACATGAGGCAGGACCGTGTTGACGGTGTGTGTGGCCCTGTGGGCAGTGGGGCTTGTCAGCTGCAGAAGAATTGTGTTTCTCAAACAGCCACATAGGGGATCAGTCTCACCTCCAAGGCCTGAAACAATTGGGTGTTTCCGTGCCTGGGGCCAGTCCTATGCAGCTGCAATGCTGAGAGAGCTGACAACAGCCTTGCAGGATGGAGGCCTACAGCAACTGTAAGCCCCTCAGCCTAGCAATCAGCCATGCTGGGGGCCTACTCACTTAAGAGAAAACCTGCAACAGGAATGTGCTATTAGACTTTGAGGCTAACTCTGCTGGGGCTCCCCATGCCTGATAAAGTGACTGAAGGGTCCATAGCAGCCACACAGAGCTGAGCATTACAACCAGCTGGCCAGGAGGACAGTCTAGCCTCCCCAGGCACCTGCAGCAAGAACAACCCTGCCACAATAGAAGGAAACAAGTAGCCCACACAGGGGTCACTCATGGAACATTTGGACTGGTGACAAGAGGGAAACACACTGCTTGGCCTCATAAGGCATCTCTTACATAAGCCCACCTTTCCAAGATCAGGAGGTGTAGCTGACCCACCTTATACAGAGATACAAGCACAGAGAAAGAGCCAATATGAGGAGACAAAGGAATACATTCCAAGTAAGGGAACAGGACAAAACCCCAGAAAAAGAACTAAATGAAACAGAAATAAACAATCTACCTGACAAAGAGTTCAAACAAAAAGTCATAAGGATGCTCACTGATCTTGGGAGAAGAATGGATGAACACAGTGAGAACATCAACAAAGAATCAGAAAATATAAAAAAGAACCAATCAGAAATGAAGAATATAATACTAGAAATGAAAAATTCACTAGAAGGACTCAATAGCAGAGTAGATGATACAGAAGAACCGATCAGCAAGCTGGACAAAAGACTAGAGGAAATCATCCAAGCTGAACAGATAAAAGAAAAAAGAATTTAAAAGAATGAGAACAGTCTAAGGGACATCTCAGACAACACCAAGGGCACTAACATTCGTAGTATAGGTGTCCAATAAGGAGAAGAGAGAGACAAAGGGGCAGAGAATCTACTTGAAGAAATCACAGCTGAAAACTTTCCTAACCTAAGGAAGGAAACAGACATCCAGGTACAAGAAGCACAGAAAGCACCAAAAAGATAAACCCAAAGAGGCCCACACTATGACACATTATAATTAAACCGTCAAGAATTAAAGATAAAGAGAGAATCCTAAAAGCTGCAAGAGAAAGGCAACAAGTGACATACAAAGGAAACCCCATAAGACTGTCAGCTGACTTCTCAGCAGAAACCTTACAGGCTAGAAGGGAGTGGCATGATATACTTAAAATTCTTTAAGGGAAAAAACTATAGCCAAGAAAACTCTACCTGGCAAGGTTAGCATTCAGAATGGAAGGAGAGATAAAGAGTTACCCAGAGAGAAAAAATTAAAGGAGTTAATCGCTGAGAAACCAGTCTTACAAGAAATGCTACAGGGACCTATTTAAGTGGTAAAGAGAAGACCACAAATAGGAATAAGAAAATTTCAACAAAAAAAAAAAAAGCAATAAAATCACTGGTAAAGACAAAAATACAGTAAAAGTGGCAGATCAACCACCTATGAAGGTCAAAAGATGGAAGTACTAAAATTACCTACTTCCATGATAAGAGGGTAATGGATACACACAAAAAAAAGACATTAGACATGATATCAAAAACATAAACTGTGGGAGGAGGGAAGTAAAAGAGCAGAGCTTTTAGCAAGAGATCAAACTTAAGAGACCATCAACTTAATATAGATTGCTATATATGTAGGTTATTATATATGAACTTCATGGTAATCACAAACCAGAAACCTATAATAAATCCACAAAAAATTAAGAGAAAGGAACCCAAACATAATATTAAAGAAGGTCAAACCACAAGAGAAGAGAGCAAAAGAAGAAGAAAGGAATAAAGAAGAACTACTAAAACACCCAGAAAAAAAGTAACAAAATGGCAATAAGTGCATACTTATCAACAGCTACTTTACATGTCAATGGACTAAATGCTCCAATCAAAAGGTATAGGGTGGCTGATTGGATAAAAAAACAAGACCCATATATATGCTGCATACAAGAGACACTCTTCAGACCTAAAGACTGAAGAGTGAAGGGATGGAAAAAGCTACTCCATGCAAATGCCAATGAAAAGAAAGCTGAGGTAGCAATACTTATGTCAGATAAAATAGACTGCAAAACAAAAACTGTAACAAGATACAAAGAAGGGCACTATATAATGATAAAGGGAACAATATAACAAGAGGATGTAACACTTTTAAATATCTATGCACCCAACATAGGAGCACCTAAATATATAAATCAATTGTTAACAGACATAAAAGGAGAAATAGACAGTACAAATGATAGTAGGGGACTTTAATACTCCAGTTACACCAATAGATAGATGATCCAAACAGAAGATCAATAAGGAGACATTGGCCTTAAATGTCATGTTAGACCAGATGGACTTAGAAGATATATACAGAACATTCCATCCAAAAACCACAGAATATTCATTCTTTTCAAATGCACATGGGACATTCTCCAAGATAGGTCACATATTAGGCCACAAAATAAGTCTCAATAAACTTAAGAAGACTGAAATAATACCGAGTATCTTTTCTGACCACAAAGGTACGAAACTAGAGATCACATACATGAAGAAAATTGGAAAAGCCACAAATACGTGGAGATTAAACAAAATGCTACTGACAATAATTGGGTCAATGAAGAAATCAAAGGAGAAATCAAAAATTACCTGGAGACAAATGAAAATGAAAATGAAAATACAACATGCCAAAACCTGTGGGATACAGCAAAAGTGATTCTAACAGGGAAGTTTATAGCAATTAAGGCCTATCTCAACAGACAAGAAAAATCTCAAATAAACAATCTAACAGCGCACTTAAAGGAACTGGAAAAAGAAGAACAAACAAAGCCCCAAATCAGTAGAAGGAAGATAATAATAAAAATCAGAGCAAAAATAAATGGAATAAAGACTAAAAAAAATCAATGAAATCAAAAGCTGGTTCTTTGAAAAGATAAACAAAACTGACAAACCTTTAGCTAGACTCACCAAGAAAAAAAGAGAGGAGGCTCAAATAAATAAAATCAGAAATGAAAAAGGAGAAATTACATCAGACACCTCAGAAATACAAAAGATTGTAAGAGAATACTGTGCAAAGCTACACGCCAACAAATTGAATAATCTAGAAGAAATGGATAAATTCTTAGAATTATACAACCTCCCAAAACTGAATCAAGAAGAAATAGAGAATTTGAATAGACCAATCACCAAGAAGAAGACAAAAACAATAATCAAAAACCTCCCCAAAAATAAAAGTTCAGCACCAGGCGGCTTCCTTGGTGAATTCTATCAAATATTCAAAGCAGACTTAATACCTATCCTTCTCAAACTCTTCCAAAAAATTGAAGAGGAGGGGAAGCTTCCTAACTCATTCTATGAAGCCAACATTGCCCTGATACCAAAACCAGACAAGGACAACACAGAAAAATTAAATTACAGGCCAATATCACTGATGAACATCAATGCAAAAATTCTCAACAAAATACTACCAAATTGAATGCAACAATACATTAAAAAGATCATACACCATGATCAAGTGGGATATATTCCAGGGATAAAGGGATGGTTCAATATGCACAAATCAATCAACATGATACACTGTATTAACAAAATGAGGAATAAAAATCACATGATCATCTCAATAGATGCAGAGAAAGCATTTGACAAGATACAGCATCCATGTATGATAAAATTAAAACTCTGAATAAAATGGGTAGAGAAGGAAAGTACCTCGACTTAATAAAGGCCATATATGACAAACCCACAGCTAACATTATTTTCAATGGAGAAAAACTGAAAGCTATCCCTCTAAGAACAGGAACCAGACAAAGATGCCCACTTTCACCACTCTTACTTAACATAGTATTGGAAGTCCTAGCCAGAGCAATCAGGCAAGAAAAAGAAATAAAAGGGATCCATATTGGAAAGGAAGAAGTGAAACTGTCACCTTTTGCAGACAACATGATTTTATATATATAAAACTCTTAAGATTCCACTAAAAAACTTTTAGAAATAATAAATGAATATGGTAAAGTTGCAGGATACAAAATCAACATGCGAAAATCCATTGTGTTTCTACACGCTAACAATGAAGCAGCAGAAAGAGAAATTAAGAATTCAATCCCATTTACTATTGCAACAAAAAGAATAAAATATCTAGGAATAAACTTAACCAAAGAGGTGAAAGACCTGTACACTGAAAACTATAATACATTGTTGAAAGAAATAAAAGAAGACACAAAGAAATGGAAAGATATTCTGTGCTCTTGGATTGGAAGAATTAACATAGTTAAAATGCCCATACTTTCTAAAGCAATCTATAGATTCAATGCAATCCCTACCAAAGTTCCAACAACATTTTTCACAAAAATAGAGCAAAGAATCCTAAAATTTATATGGAACAGCAAAAGACCCTAAATAGCCAAAGCAATCCTGAGAAAAAAGAACAAAGCTGGTGGTATCACACTCCCTGATTTCAACATATACTACAAAGCTATAATAACCAAAACAGCATGGTATTGGCACAAAAAC